TTGTCTAAAAGCAGAAGTGGTGAATGGTGCTTAGGAACAAGGACAGATCAGACTGATCGGGAGAAAGGAAACCACACTAGTGCAGCCTTGAGTGGGTAGAAGTGTGTACAGTGCTGTCAATTTAGGGGACGCTTCCCCATTTAGACAGAGGCCAGACTTTCTGGCCCTCTCATAGCCCTGCTGGCTGCAACTCCACCAGCACTCCACAGTAGTAGGTGTGTGGTGTGAACATGGTGCCTGCCCCAACCCTGCAGCTGGTTCTGCAGTGTCAGGGCCTGTGTCCAGGAGGTGGCACGGTTCTGAAGAACATGGTTCCAAAGATAGCTTGAATCTGGCCTCACCTCTTACTGACCATGTGGCATCAGGCAATTAACCTAAGCATTCTGTGCCTCACTTTCCAGATCAGTAACATCTGGCAGTGTCCTTGTCCTCGAGAGGGTTCCATTGTTTGATACATTTGTAAAATTGGACAATACCTGCCTCCAGGACTCCTGTGCAGCTTTTGGGTCCTCGTCATCCCACAACTGTAAGGTGGCATGTCACCCTCAGAAGGTGGAGTGAAGCCTTAGTCACCCGAATGTGTCACTGCATTGATGATTGTGGTGCTGTACAGGTGGCTTCATCACCTCAAACCTGAGTGTGGCTCTGCCCCTGAGGCAGTAGAGCAGGTCCTGCAAGGCCCACACGCCTGCACAGGTGGAGCTGGCAGGACTTGATTGCAGGGCCGGGGCTGCTGTGACCGCCTGTGTATTCTTCTTGCCCCTTGTGTCCATGAAGTGGTGTTTCAGGAATTACTGAAAACCCTCAGAAACCCACAGCTGACACGACACGTGACAAGCACTTCCTGTCCTCTGAAGTTCAGGCCCCCAAAGTCCTTCTCCCTCCCACTGGCCTTCCCTCGAGGCTGTTGCATTCCACCAATCCTGCTGCTTGCTGCTGAAAACTGTGACCCACAACTGTGGGCCCTCTCCCCCCCATGATCCTGCCTTCCATCTCCCTCACTTTGCCCAGACAACCTCTGTGAGTCAGGGGCAGGTGCTTTCGCCCACTCTGTGGAAGGGGAATTGAGTCAAGATCTGCTCTGTGGTTCAGAGAGGACACAGGACAGGGCTCCCACCCATGCGGTGGTGCTCCCATAACACAAGGGACCAGGCACCTGGGTGAGGGAGTGCCCACACCACCCACCTGCCTGCCACAGGACCTACGTGACCCACCTGCCTGCCATGCCCAAACTGTCGTGGCCCAGGGTCTGCAACTTACAGCTTTTCTTGACCTCTGGGAGAATCACAGTGTGAACGGAGCAAGAGTAGGAACTGCAAGGGAGTCAGACCCGTCCAGGGGTGCCCCTGTGCCAAGTACTTGGCAGAGCCCTTCTGGGCCTGGGAGGCCACAAGGCACCAATGTCCTCAAGAAGAGCATGAAATAGTGAAAACACAGGTGTGCCTGTTGTTAAACAGCACCAAATCTTCATGTTGCTGTGTGTGCGTATGTATGGTGTATTTATATATATGGGGGCGGTGTGTTTATGCGTATTTGTATGGTATGTGTTTTATGTGTGTGTGGTGTGTGCATGCATGTGGTATGTGTGTTGATGTGTTTGTGTCTGTGGTGTATATATTTGTGTAGTGTGTTTATGTATAGTGTGTCTTTGTGTTGTATGTGTTGGTGTGTGGTATTTGTGAGGTGTGTGGAATATGTGTTAATGTTTATGTGTATGGTGTGCATGTGCTGTGTGTGTGTATGTACTTGTGTTAATATGTATGCTTATATACACATGATATGTATGTAACATGTTTGTGTGTATGTATGTGATATGTGTGGTATGCATGTGTGGTATGCTTGAGTTTGTATTTGTGGTGTGTCTCTGTGTGGTGTGCGTGTGTTGTGTGTGTGTATGCTGTGTATGTGTGTGTGCGTGCTTGTCAGTGTGGGTGTGTGTGTGGTGGGTCACTCTCATGCCCTTACGGGAGGAAGCTCTGCCTGTGCCTGGGTAGATCACAGGTGTCTGGGGCTCCTAGGGATACTCCCCTCCTACTGCATCCTTCCTGGGGTTAAGATTAAGGTCAGGATCAGAGCCCAGCTGGGCCTGGTGCTAGGGCAGAGGGAAGGCAGGGACTCCAGGGAATCTGCCTCTCTGGGATCCCCTTGTGGGGAAGGAGCCCTGCACGGATGTCTCTGGGTATCACTGGCAGTAGGAACCTCACACATGTGGACTAGGTGTCCTGGTGCCATCGGGTGAGCCCAGAGGATGTAAGAGATTATCTGTTCCAGGTGGACCATGTACCCTGAGCCTGTGAGGGCAGCACAGGCAGGAGGGTGGGTGAGAGGCATCTCTAGGTGCCAGGTAGTGCCCCTGCCCACCCCACTAGATGCTGGGGCTTGGCACACTAGACATTGAAGTTAAAGGACAGAGTTTATCTGTGATCACTGCAGGGAGTGCCTTAAACCAACCCCATGAGCCAGAGGAAGGGTAGTTTTTTTCTAAAGCATCCTAAGTTCAGGCTTCACACCATGAATTGCCAGATGTTGCTGAGAGTTTTAGTGGCGGATGCACGTAGGGCCTTGTGATACCTCTGTCTTCCAGGACCTCCATGGCATCCCTGCTCAGCAGCTGTCAGAGACCCATCAGGATGGGCCCCAACCTCTCTCAATCTCCCTGCCCCAGGACAGGTTCAACAATGAGAAGGATGGGAGCATGAGGACACAGTCAGGCTGGTGTCCTGTTCTACATGCTGGTAGGGTCCTGGGGTGAGAGGGGGCACTTGGGACAGAGACAGCTGCCATGAGGCTATGACACAGCCCTTACCTTGGGGCCAGCTTGCAGCTCACCAGTGCTGGACACACCTCAGAGAAAACATAGGATTTTCTCTTTTAACAGTAAATGACATTAAAAGGTGTGATAGAACTGCCTGTAATCCCAGCACTTTGGGAGACTGAGGCGAGAGGATTGCCTCATAAACTCTCACTTCTTTCTTTTGTTAAATGTATCCCTATTTTTATGCTGTTTTAAATGGAAGTGTTTTCTTAATTTCATTTTTGGATGATTCATTGCTAGCATATAGAAATATAATTGAAGGCCGGGTACGGTGGCACAAGCTTGTAATCTCAGCACTTTGGGAGGCTGAGGTGGGCGGATTGCCTGAGCCCACAGGTTCGGAACAGCCTGGGCAACTTGGCAAGACCTCACTGCTACAATAAATTGAAAAATTAGCCGGGCTTGGTAGCGCACGCCTGTAGTTCCAGCCACTTGGAAGGCTGAGGCGGAAGGATTGCTTGAACCCAGCAGGTCGATGCTGGGGTGGCCATCAGCGTGCCACTGCACTTCAACTTGGGTGACAGAGTGAGACTCTAACTCAAAAAAAGAAAGAAAGAAAGAAAGAAATACAATTGAATTTTTTGTATGGATCTCATATCCTACAACCTTGATGAACTCATTTGTTAGTGCAGTGTGTGTGTGTGTGTGTGTGTGTGTGTGTGTGTGTGTGTGTGTGTACACGTGTAATCCTTAGGGTTTTCTACTCATAGGATCATGCCACCTGGAAACACAGACAGTGTTATTTCTTCCTTTCCAACAAGGATAGCTTTTATTTCTTTTTCTTGCTTAATTGCTCTGGCTAGAATTTCCAGCACAATGTTGAATAAAAGTGGTTTATGAGAACAGATATTCTTACTCCTTTTCTGGCCTTAACGGGAAAGCATTCAGTATTTTACTATTTTAAGTATGACTTAGCTGTGGATTTTTTGTAAATGACCTTTATTGGTTTAAGAGAGTTCCCTCTTATTGCTAGGTTGAATAGATTTATCATGAAAAGGTGTTGTTTGCTTTTGTCAAATGCTTTTTCTAAATGTATTGAGATCATGTAATTTATGTCCTTTATTCTGTTAATCTGGTGTATCACATTGATTTTCATCTACTACTCCATCTATCCTTATAACCTGAGATATGGTGTGTGATCCTTTTTCTGTGGTGGACTTAGAAATCTTTACTAGATTCTTATTGTTGAAGATTTTGCATCCACATTGAAGAGAGGAATGCTGATGAGTTAGGAAGCGCTCCCTCCTCTTCTATTTTTTGTAAGAGTTTCTGAAGAATTGATGATAATTCTTTAAATGCTTGGGAAAATTCACCAGGGAAGCCATCTACTTCTGTACTTTTCTCTGTGAAAAGATTTTTCTTTTTCTTTTCTTTTGTTTTGAGTCAGAGTCTCACTCTGTTGCCTAGGCTGAAGTGCAGTGGCATGATCAGGGCTCACCACAGCCTCCAACTCCTGGACTCAAGCAATCCTCTTGTGTCAGCCCTCCGAGTAGCTGGGACTTGAGGCATGCACCACCACACCTTATATATAAAATGTATTTTCTTTTTTTGTAGAGGCAGGGTCTGTGTTGCGCAGGCTGGTCTTGAACTCCTAGACTCAAGCAATCCTCCTGCCTCTGCCTCCCTAAGTGCTGGGATTACAGGTGTGAGCCACTATGCCTGGTAGTGGGAAGGTTCTTGACTACTCTTTAAATCTCTTACTTGTTAGAGTTGTATTCAGATTTTCTATTTCTTCTTGAGTCAGTTCTGATCGTTTATGTCTTTCTAAGAATTTGTGTATTTCATCCAGGTCATCCAGTTATCATCCTTGTAAGCTATTTCAGGCTTTTCTTCTCGTGATTAAAAGCAACATGTTTATTTTTGGTTTTTATATAAAGCTTCACCATTGTCAAAAGCAGAGGGGACTCCTTTCTATTAAACACAGCCGAGAATGTGGGCACAAGGCTGGTGACCTGCAGGTGGGGTTGGGCTAGCCTCTGATTTCCTGTGGGCCCCGCCCCTTATCTGCCAACCACAGAGGCCAGACACCTTTAGTCCCATTGTAAAGCCCCTCGAACCCTTGACCTTATGGAGAAGAGACATGCAGATGCATCAGTCACTTTTTGAATGACCCTTTATGAAACTAAACTGTAGGTTGTTTGAGAGCTGTATTTCCTGCTAATCTGTTGGCATCTGTTGTGTCTAGGTGTTCACCTCTCATGGCCCCACGGTGGTCATGCCTACCTGGTTCTGCTCTCGAGCATGGTTCTCCCACGTGGGCCCCTTTGATGAGGGAGGCCAGGTAAGTGCCAAGAGGTGGGAATTGGGTCCTCTGTGGGCCAGGGAGGCTGTCCACTGTGGGTTTCCGCACACCCCACATCTACCCTGGGCTCCCGGAATTCAGGAAATTCCCTTTATGCAGGTCTCCCAGCCTTTTCTACTGGCACTCACAAGCGTGAGGTCGTGTTGCTAACAGCAGGGGATTTCTGTATGAGTGTTGTGGATGCCCAGGGCACCTGTACCTGGTCCACACCTGCTCTGAGACGGTCTCCCTGGCCTTGGGTTCCAGATGACCTAATCCTGGTTTAGAAGCTATGCGTGGGAAAGTACAGGGTGTTGACGATACTGGCTGGGCCGTCCCTGGGATAACAGAGGGAGGAGAGGAGCTTCCCCCCACCCCCAGTGGAGTGCACCCATGGGTGTTGGTGTCTATACTGGCTGACTCCTTCCTCTTCGTCTTACCTGCGGGGACAACAAGCTCTGGACTGGGGCATCACTGCAGGGAGCCTGGACACAGAGGTAGGGGGTTTGAGCACAGCATTCCTGGAGGTCTGCAGACCCCTGGCTAGACAAGGGAGCAGCCATGACTCAGGTCCAGCCTCTACCTCCACAGGGCCGTTTTCCGTGCTTTGAGCCTTGGCTTCCTCATCTGGACAGTGCGGGTGAGCAGTCTACCAGCTTCACAATGCCACATGGGCCCTTGGCATGGGACTGGCCTGCCACCGTTCCTACTATCCCCATTCCCCGTAACCCCCCCTCCTGCTTTCTCCCTACCACCTCCATTGAGAGTAAGAGGCCGGTTTCCCCACTGCTCCTACCCCATTGTACCCTGGCCAGCACAGCCCCTCATGGCCACCGTGACCCCAAAGGTGGCCCTGCCACAGGTCATCCAACTCTGTCCTGGAAACTCTCCCAAAGCGAGACAAGCAAACCACATTCATGACTGCCCTCAGGTCAACTCCCAGTGTCCCACCTGGCCTCAGCACCTGCACCCTTCAGAGAGTGGCATTGCCCTGTTTGTAAACCAGGAGACTGGCCTGCAGCTGTCTGTACCAGGACATCAGCTACTAGTTGGCACTAAGCTCAGCCCCTGCCCTACCAGGCTGCCACCAGCAGCATGTTCCTGAGACAGAAGCTTCAGGAGCAGATAGGCTGTGCTCCCCTGTTTGGCCAGGCCACACCAACCACCACCCTCATGACACAGAGCCAGCCACTGAGCCTCCCTGTCCTCTCACAGCAGGGACCATTTTAATGGAAATTACATTGACACCATTTTAGGGTATCAGACACTATGATGCCTTTGTTCCTGTTTCCCCCAAATTCACATGAGAGGAGAGAGCTCATGTGTGCAGTTACCACCCCACCCAGGGACCCCACAACCTTAGGGACCTTGGTGTTGGCAGGAGAAATGGTGCAGGTTTGTGTTTTCCCAGGTGGGGTGGTCCCTCGCCCTCAGGTCCCCATAATTGATCTCTGGGACACCAGCAGTGCAGTGGGTAAGGCGGTACTCGCAGCGAGTCTCCACACCTCTGACCAGGTGCTGCCAAGAGGTGTGGAGAATCCAAGACTCTGCTGTTCATATTCTTCTGTAGAAAATAGTGTGGGCAGCAGTCCACGGAGGTCGTCCCATGGAAAGTGCTGACTTTGAATCTTACATGTCCCAGGATCGGGGAGTGTTTCAGGCCTTCTGGCTTGTGCTGACTCTGCCTGGCAAAGAAGCTCCTGAAAGAAAATAAAACCCATCCCTCCTGTTGTACTGGGGACCAGGGGCTAGGTGCCAGGGACCAGGGACTGAGGATCAGGCACTAGGGATTAGGGACTAAAAGACCAGGGATTGGGGTGGTGATGGAGCTGTGGCTGGAGCAAGTGAGGGATTTGGGGCCACAATGTCTGCCACCAAGGTGAGGACATAAAGTGTTTCCATGGCTCCTGCCATGTGCTCCCCAAAGAAACGAGTGGCTCTGAGGAATTAGCTATGGAGTGTACCTCAAGCACAGCACAGAGGGCCATGAACCCAGCGCAGGGCTGACCCTCAACTAATATCTTGGGCCTCAGGGATGAACCAAGCCCCTTTCTGGGTGGAGCAACTGTGGTTCTCACCCTGTGGAGAGGACAAATGACAAACCACCAAGGGAAGTCGAGGCAGCGATGGATGGTGCTGACCACGATGGCATCAAGACTTGGAGAATGAACCAGGGTCAACAGGTTGTAAAGACAGAGGCCATAGGCTGGCCCTTGCAAGATGGCAGATGTTTAACTGGGGAAATGTGTCCATTTTCGCATCTGCAGAGGCGGAGTGAGTGGGAGGGCTGGAGGTGGGTCTGAGAGGTAGAGGTGGGCGAAGTGGCACAGGACAGCCCCAGCACTGGTAGGCATGTGCCTTGTGGGCAGCCATCATAGGCCCTTAAAACAAGATGTTAAAAAAGGTTGATAAGGGCAGGTCTGGCCTGGAGAAGACTCATCATCATTGCTCAGAAACCAGCACACTTTTAGACAGTTCCTAAGACTGGACTGGCATGTGAGGATAGGGCATGTTCAGTTTGGGAGCCACTCTCCACAGGGTAGTACCTTTAACACTCTCCACTGCTCCTGTCACTGTGGGCAAGTGCTGCCATGGGTGTTGTCCATCTTTCTTTCTTTCTTTTTTTTTTTTTTTTGAGTTGGCGTCTCACTCTGTCGCCCAGAGTGGAGTGCAGTGGCACACTCCCGGCCACCGCAGCCTCAACCTGCTGGGTTTCGGCAATCCTTCCACCTCAGCCTTCCAAGGAGCTGGAACTACAGGCGTGCACTACCATGACCAGCTAATTGTTGATTTATTGTAGAGATGAGGTTTCGCCAAGTTTCCCAGGTAGGTCTTGAACCCGTGGGCTCAGGCAATCCATTCACCTCAGCCTCCCAAAGTGCAGGCATTACAGGCTGAGCCACCGAGCCCAGCCGTGGCCCATTTTTAAGAGCTGTCTTCTCAGTTCTGAGTCGTTGCTGTTCCTTGTCAGATATTCACTTTGTGACTGTTCTCTCCCTTTTTTGGTCTCTATGTGCTGGGATCACCCTCACCTCCAGTTGCTCTGCTTGTCCCAGGTTCTGCCCTGAGGCCCTTCAGAGCAGTAGAACTTTGGGCTTCTATCCCTGCCTTGTCTGTGCCTGCTTCCTTGTCTTTCCTGCCGTAGGTCCTGGTTTCCTGGGTCATCGTGTATAGAGCTCCCGAGTGTTACCAGGAGGGTGTCAGCTGCTCAGCCAATGAAAGCCAGAAGTCACCACCTGCTTCTGTAGTTTTTTTATTTCTCTGGGCATTGAAGAAGATTTGTGTTTTGTTCTAGTGGTTATCTCTGTACTTAACCCTTTCCTAAATACCCTTAGTCCCATGGAGCTTTTACTCACATTTATTGCCTACAACAATCAATGAGATTGTTGCTTTCCTCTTTTTCTTTCCTTTCTCTTCTCCTCTCGTTTTTTGCTGCATTGTTTCTACTTTGTCAAGTGGTATACATTCACATATTAGTCTTCCACACTTGCCCCAACTCTGTGTCTTTGACTCACAATTATATACCCTCAGCATTGGTCATCACAGCTTCTGCTAAAGGCTGTGCAGTTGTCCTGTGACCAGATGAGGCTGCGGTAGTCCTCAAGAGCATGCATAGCTAGAGCTTTGTTTCCAGAGCCCTGGGCCTTGAGAGAGAACTTGGTTGTAGAGGAAACCCTAGGTTCATACATGTTTTCCTTGAATGTCTAGAAAGTCCTGCTCTTTAGAAGCCTGGTGCTCATTGGAGTGTTTGAGTTATATGACTTCTATGCCTGGAGACTCTGGAATTACTTTTTATTGTTAAAGCCTATTGGTTTCACTAACATGTGTCCTAAAGTTGATATCATAGGGATCCTCAGTCTATAGAACCAGATCTGCTTTTACTTCTGAACATTTTTCTTGGCTTGTAGTCTTAAAGATTAGCTATGTTACATTGTCTTGCTTTTTGTTTCAAAGATTCTAATTCTACCTTGGTTAGATTTTCTTAGTCTTCCATTTCAATGACTTTCTCTCTAACCCTTTTTACTTCTTTCAATAAATAATTTTCATTTTCTTGGTTATTTTCCTTCCTTTCTTCAGTGTTCCTTACTAATTTTTTAAATTAAAACCTATTTTCTATTGAGGATCTTGTAATTTCATCTTCATTTCTCATATAATTTTGTCTTTCTTTCATTTTTTTGAGTTAATAAATCCAGTTTTATTTAAGAGCTTTATTCATATATGATAGAATTCATCTATTCAAGTGTACAACTTAATGTATTTTGGCAGATTCATAGGGATGTTTAATTATAACAACAATCTGATGTTAGAATGTTTTCATCACTCCAAAATGAATCCTGCACCCATGAACAGTCACACCTCATCCACCCACCCACTCTGAGCCCACAGCCCTAGCCAAGCACTAATTTACTTTCTTCAGTTCTCTTTTTATATCTACCCTCCTTTTTGTGGTCCAGTTTTATACTTAGTCATCAAATTTGTGATTCAGTATGGATTTACTACCTCCCCCGCCCACCCCTATGTCCTCAGGCTCTTACTGAGAGTGTGTAATTTATCTTGGAGGGCTATTTACAGGGTTTTTCTTTGTCGTGATTTGAGGAGTTTTTTTGTCATTGTTGTTGGGGTGGGGGAGGTTGCATTTTTATCCATGGAAGTGTTTGGTTTCTGTTTTCGATTTTCTTCTCTTGCTGGTTTTGTGCAGATGAAAACTCTTCATGTCTGCACATTCTGTGAAGAATTGGATGACCTGATTTCTAGCTCAAGATCGCCCCCTTCTGTCACTGCACAGTGACGTGCAGTCCTTCCTGCATGTTGGTGTTGAGGAAGGGGCCACTGTCTCACAGGATCTGAGCCTCCGACCCACCCTCCCTGGGAGTGATTGTAGCTCAGGTTCCTCTTCTCCTTCAGGCAGTCTCTGGCGTCTCCCACCCCAAAGGCCGCCACAGCTTGAGAGGCAGCATTCTCCTTGCTGGTGGTCCTGTGATCATATCCATTAATGCTGATGTGTCATGTTTCGGAGGATGTGTGGAAAGATTTTGGTTTCCTCGGTTACCCCCGAGTCTGCCCTGACTCCTTCATAAGCTGTAACACCTCTTTGTCTCCTGCAGCTAGTTGGGGGACACCCACCACTTCCAGGCCCTCCTGAGCAGGTGCCTGTGTGGAGTTCTGGCTGGGAAGAGCCTGAGGGACAAATGAGGACAAAGTTCCAGGCCCCTTGCAGTCCCCCTCCTCGTGGGGGCAGAGGCACCACCCAGGCACCTCCTTTTCCTGAATTCTCACTTTTTTTTTTTGCCAGAAAATAAAACCCCCAAGGGTTAGGTTCTTCCTGGTCAGGAGAAGAAAAGACACTCTTTTTCTCTCTTTGTAAACCTGTCATATGTGCCAAACTCCAACATACTCTTTGAATGTGTCTTTGAAAACAAGAAAATTCGGAAAAATACCTAAATTACCTGTGTGATGAAGTATGTTCACCAGCACACCATGGATGTCTCGACCCTAAGTTACCTGTGAACCTGGTACTTGCATAGCTCTGAGCTTCTGTATGTGATTCTCATGATTCTCGTCTTTATTTTGTTGTTCTCATCTTTATTTTGTTACAGCAGAGCTGTAAACATGATTTTGACACCTGTTTTTTAAGTTGGCATCTTGTTAGAAATCTTTTCATGTCATGGTCTTTGCAAGAGTGGTTTCAGTTGCTGCACACCAATCCATCAATCAACTGTTCTGATTTACTTCATCATTGCCTAGTTGGAAATGGGGCTGTTCACAACTTTTTCACACCATGAATTAGACAGTGACGGAACCTGTGAGTTTTTGTATTAAGGGTCATTAATACATAAAGTTGTAGCTGGGCACAGTGGTTCATGCCTATAATCCCAGCACTTTGGGAGGTGGAGGCGAGAGGATGTCCTGAGCCCAGGGGTTCGAGACCAACCTAGCCAACTTGCCAAGACCCTGTCTCTATAATAAATCAAAAACTTAGCCAGGCATGGTTGCACGTGCCTGTAGTTCCAGCTACTTGGAAGGCTAAGACAGAAGGATCACCTGAGCCTTGCAGGTCAATGCTGTGGTGGCCGTGAGCAGCGTGCCACTGGCCTCCAGCCTGGGTGACAGTGAGACTCCTCCTCAAAAACAAAACAAAACAAAACCCAACCCCATAAAGTTGTGTATGAGAAAGGGCTGACTTCAGGAGTAACATCAACTCAGTGGATCAATCTGATGGGCTGAGGTTTGGGTTTTCGAGCTTGGACAAATGAGCAGGGGTCACACAGGGCCCGGGCTGCTCTCCCTTGACACTCCTTTGTGCTTGTCCTCTCCCCTGTCACTTTTTCCCTCCCCTGTTGCTTCTCTACCACTACAGGGCTCCCCTGCCAGCACATCTACCCCTGAACCCTCACCTTGCACCACTGTCCTGTGTCCATAGTGGACACTGGGACCCTCAAGCCTTTGGCCACAGGACAGGGCACCAGCTGCCAGCAGAACACCCTTTCCACCTAGGACCCCCACCAGCCCTAGTCAGGTCCATGGCCTGGCGCTGGCAGAAACCATGGAAGGGAAGACCAGCTGTCCAGGACCCTCAGGCTGTGGGGACCCTGACCCACCCCATCCCCTTTCACTCTGAGACCTTTTTTGCCCCACACAGTGGAATTTCGGGCAGCGCCAAGACTGCACAACCTGGCTCTAGCCCGTCCTCCACACTCCTTCCTTGTGGCATGTCCTAGGGTTCATTTTCCCACCTGTTGAAATCAGGTGCTGGCATCTTGTGGCCACCACCTGACATCCCTGCTGAGCTGCTCACTGGTTTCTCAGCAGCAGAAGCCTTTCCCACTTCTGATGTTGGATTCACATGTGTGCCAGCTGGAACATGCACATGTCTATGTGGTGAACACAGCACCAGCATCCTTTCTTGCTGCAGGGCGTGCCGGAGGACCTGCTTTTCTTCTACCAGCACCTCAGGAAGGGCGGCAGGGTTGTCCGTGTGGACCAGAGCCTCCTCCTCTACCGTTACCACCCACTTGCGGCCACACACTCTGTCCTCGAGTAAGTAAGCCCCATGGGCTGCAAAACGCATGGGACTGAAGTGTGGGGAGGGGATGGGGGTATGGGAGGCCTGGGGGTATGAGTGGATCAGGGCAAGGGGTGTAACTGAGGGGAGTAGGGGGAGGGGAACCGGAGGGGATGCAGAATCATGAAGCGTGGGCAGGGCCCAGAGGTGTGTGAGGCCCAGGAGCATGGGTGAGCTGGGGGCATGGGTGGGCCCCCAGTGAGGGGGATGCCCCTGCGTGGCCAAGGCCTGGCTGGTGGGGTAGGCTCTAGTGCTCAGGTCAGGGCTCTGCCTGGAGCCCCAGCCTGGTGGGAAGATGCAAATAGTGGTGCATGAGGGTACAGACACACTGGTGTTCTTGGAGAAAGGGCATTTCCCGAAGGGGCTGGGAAGCACAGGATGACAGCTGAATACCCTTCCTTTTTGTTAGTGAGGTTAGATGAATGTGCACCTGCCGATGGGGCAGTGGGCCTGGAGCATCCTCCCCATAGATGGAGGAGCTGCTGTGGACAGAGAGGCTGAGCCACATTCTCCATTTGGGCTTCGCAGCAAGAAAGGCGAATGAGCAATGGTGGGCTCAGGAGACCTGGTAGATTCCCCCATCCCTCTTCTCTGCCTGGCAGGGCCCTCATAGGCCTGACCCTGACTTTCTAGTCACTAGGAACGCCTCACAGCTGGCAGGGCCAGGGCAGGGAAGGACCATTAGGGTGAAAGAAAGGAGAGGAGTGTATCTGTAATTTCTTAGTTGGACTGTGTGTGTAAGAGAGAGTCAGCCCACCTTCACTGTTCCATGCACTCCTTGGTACTCGCCTGTCGTACTACTTGAGAAAGTCACCTTAGGGGCTCCTCCAGCTCTGAAGATTTTGACCCACAGTCATGCTTTGGTGTCTCTGGAAGTTCAGATGTGTTGATGAAAAGATGCCAAACTCTGTAAAATATCTTAGGATGGTTTACTCTGGCCAATTTGAGGACCTAGACCTACAGCATATGTCCCCAGGATGTCCTGAAAACATGTGCCCACTGTGGTTGAGTGGTAGCTTGGCTACATCCAATTTAGGAGGCCAAAAGTTATAAGGAACCATAAATCAATACATGTGAGATTTACATTGGTTCAGCCTAGGGAGGTGGGCATTCCAAGCGGGGTGGGGGGCATGCTGGCTGTAGGTGGATTCAAAGATTTTCTGACTGGCAACTAGTTAGCATAGTTATCTAAAGAAAACTTGAAAGCAGTAATGGAAATGAACAGCTTGAGGAAGATATAAGAGCAGAATTTTTTGATATGTAGATGGAGTTTTAGGTATGGTGGTGATGGACTTCAAACAGAGCAGGTAATTGGTTTAAAAGATGCCAGAGTTCCCTAGACAGCTTTACAGGGTCTTAAAATACTTTGATATTTTCCTTCTTTGTCTCCCAGTCACTTTGGAGAGTAAATCACATTAAAAGTTAGAATTTGGCAATGGAAAGAATAAAAAAACCTCATTTGACTCTGTCCTTGCCCTGGACAGGATTGAGACTCACTGCAAGGTTGTGCCCCCTCGGATGGGAATCATCTGTCCTGAGAGGTCTAACGTCCACCATCACAGTGAGGACATGAAGTCCAGCATTGTAGTGGGGGGTGTTTATGGGTGTGGGGTCCCAGAACACAGTGTCCATGTTCTTGAACTGTCTCCATGTTATTGAACTCTGTGCTATTCAGTGTCCTTGAATTCTCTCACATGTGCTAGTGCTTCTTTATTTACAAATGTGTTGTTGCTGTTGTTTAGAGACAGGGTCTTGCTCTGTTACCCAGGCTGAAGTGCATCATAGCTCACCACTGCCTTGAACTACTGAGCTCAAGCGATCAATCCTCCTGCCTCAGTCTCTTGGTTAGCTGGGTTTATAGGTGTACACCACAATGCCCAGCTAATTAAAAAAAATTTTTTTTTTGTAGAGACAGGGTTTTGCTATGTTGCCCAGGCTGGTTTTGAACTCCTGGCTTTAAGGGATCCTTCTGCCTCAGCCACCCAAAGTGCTCAGATTTCAGGCATGAGCTACCACACCTGGCCTGTTTATAGATGTAAGCAAAAGAACTTGGCTTTGTATTTTCTCTTGCCTTTTATTAAACCTCAATTTCAACAGGATAGCTTTTTTTTTTTTTTTTGGTTGAGGTATTATTTTATTTTATTTTTTTTTAATGTGAAGTTGTGGGGTACAGTTAAGGGTTAGGTATACAATTGCGTTTCATTCAGGTACCCTGTTGATATGGGGTGTTTCCCCGTTCCCAGACAGATATTTGCTACTCAACAGGATAGCTTTAAAGGAGCATCCTTGTTGGAGAGTTTATTGTTATGACCCTGGCTCAATACTGGTTGATTTACATACCTGGGGAAAAAGGTCATTTAATCAGAAGACATAATATATAGTCTTAAATGTGTATGTCCATAATAACAGTTTTAAAATACATGAAGCAAAAACTGATAGAGATTAAGGAGTAATAGACAAATCCTGGGCAGGTGAGACCTCATCTCTATAATAAATTTTTAAAAAATTAGCCGGGCGTGGTAGCGTGTGCCTGTAATTCCGGCTACTTGGAAGGCTGAGGTGGAAGGATCACCGGAGCCCAGAAGGTTGAGGCTGTGGTGGCCGGGAGCGGCCACTGCGCTCCAGTCTGGGCAACCGAGTGAGACTCCAACTCAAAAAAAAGAAAAAGAAAATTGCAGTTGGAGATTTTAATACTTCTTTCTCAGTGATAGAAGTAAGGAAAGCATCTGTGTGATAAAGATTTGAGGCCGGGCATGGTGGCTCATGCCTATAATCTCAGCACTTTGAAAGACTGAAGTGAAAGGATTGCCTGAGCCCGCGGGTTCAAGACCGGCCTGGGCAACTTGGCGAAACCTCATCTCTACAATAAATCAAAAAATTAGCCAGGCATGGTGGCACATGCCTGTGGTTCTAGCTACTTGGAAGGCTGAGACAGAAGGATTGCCTGAGCCCAGCAGGTCAAGGCTGCGGTGGCTAGGAGTGTGCCACTGCACTCTAGCCTGGGCAGCAGAGTGAGATTCCAACTCAAAAAAAAAAAAAAAGAAAAAGAAAAGATTTGAACAGCACTGTCAGCCAACTTGATCTAATGTTATTTACTGAACACTACCCTCAACTGCAGAATACACATCCTTCTCAAGTCTAAGATATGCAACATTTTGGACCATAGGACAAGTCTTAAATTTTAAATGGTTGAAATCGTACAGAGTGTTTTATGACCACTGTCTTAGTCTGATCAGGCTACTGTGATGGAGCACCATAGACTAGGGGGCATATATGGAATGGAAATTCATTGCTCACAGTTCTGGAGGCTGCACGTCCAAGCTCAAGGCACTAACAGATTCAGTGTCTGGTGAGGGCTGCTTCCTGGTTCACAGATGGCTGTGGAAGGGGCAGAAGAGTCTCCAGGGGTCTCTTTTTTAAGGGTACTAATTCCTAATCACCTACCAAAGGTCCCACATCCTAATACCATCACTTAGGGGTTAGGATTCAACATATGAATATGGAGGGAGGGACACAAGCTTTTAATATTTAGCAACCACACAGAATTAAATGAGAAATCATTAAGACATCTTGAAAATCCAAAATACTTAGAAATTAAGTAGCCAAGGGGGAAAAAATCACAAAGGAAGTTAGAAAATAATTAAAATAAAAACAGTATGTCAAAATTTGTGGACTGAGTTAACAGTTTGCAGTATAATTCTAAGGCTCTAATGGCTTATATTACAAAAGAGAAAACTAAGCAATTACCTAAGTGTCTACCTTAAAAAGTTACTAAAGCAACAGCAAAGTAAACGTCAAGTAAATAAAAGGCATAAAAGTAAAAGATGATGACATTGAATATGGAAAACTAATAAAGAAGATCTACAAAACCAATAATTGATTGAAAGAAAATAAGATTGACAAGCCTCTAATAAGACTAATTATTTTAAAAATACAGAATTAGCCGGGCTCGGTGGCTCAGCCTGTAATCCCTCGCCTTTGGGAGGCTGAGGTGAGTGGATTGCCTGAGCCCGTGGGTTCGAGACCCGCCTGGGCAGGCAAGATCTCACCTCTACAATAAATAAATAAAAAAATTAGCCGGGTGTGGTAGCACGCGCCTGTAATTCCGGCTATTCGGAAGGCTGAGGTGGAAGGATCGCCGGAGCCCAGCAGGTTGAGGCTGTGGTGGCCGGGAGCGGCCACTGCACTCCAGTCTGGGCGACAGAGCGAGACTCCAACTCAAAAATAAATAAATAAATAAATACAGAATTACCAATATCCTTTTGGGAATGAAAAGGGAGTATCACTAGAGTCTATGGGTGTTTAAAGAATAAATAATTAAAAGTTAAATTTGTAAATTAAAGACTTTCCACAAAGTCTTTAATTTCCACAAAGGCTTAATTGACGTATTCTGTCAGAGACTTAAGAAAGAAATAGTACCTATGTAAATTATCCCAGGAAGTAGAGGAAAAGAGAGACCTACTGGGCCGGGCAGGAACTCCTAGCTCACTTCACAAGAACAGCACGACCCTGACAGCAAAAGGCTGCAAGAACATTACAAGAAAATAAAATTATAGACTGGTGTCTCTCATGTAAATAGATGTGAAGATCTTTTACAAAATACTAGCAAAATACTAGCAGTTCAGCAATACTATATATGAAAGGATAATACATAAATACAAGTCTGATTTAACATTCAAAAATCAATTCATACGGTTTACTACATTAACAGAACAGAGGAAAAATATTATATACTCAACCCAATAGTCAAAGAAAAAGTATTTGCTAAAATGTAATGCCTGTTCATGATTTTTTTAAAAGTGTAGCAAACTAGAAATAGAAGGGAACTTTCTCAATCTGATAATCTCTCCAAAAACCTACAACTGAGCTCATACTTGATAATGAAAGACTCAGCCAGGTGTGGTGACTCATGCCTGTAATTCCATCGATTTGGGAGGATGAGGTGGGAAGATCACTTGAGCCCAGGAGTTAAAGA